AATCGTCTGTTCGTGGTCACGACTTAACGGATTCGTTACACTCACTGTAACGATTGGCACTATTCAAACTCAGAAGTAAATACTTCTACTTTAGGGATGACACGTATTTACTAGTACAGGTATAAATACCTAGTTTGAGCTTACCAGTAGGTACGCATACTGGGTATGTAAGCAGAAACCCGGTCCCGTTTTGTTCCGTTCGTATTCATGACCGTTGATCTCGTGTAAAATGCCGACATCGTCTAGAGTCTAGACAGTAACGCATCGGCCAGGGTTGTCAAAAATATGACCTTATGGCACCGACTAAAAGTCGGTCAGTGGGTGAGTAGCTCATCAGTACTAATATGGTTATTTTTTTGCTTTTTAGTTTTTAGTTTTTAGGATTTTTGAGAAGTCGGTTTTTTAAACGCATTTTTTTTTTTTTTTTAGTGTAAAACTACATAGACCCGATTTGCCACTTATAATCCACCTAGGTGTAAAGTTCTAATCAATACAAATTATACAAACCCAAAAACAATGTAGTTACGTGAAAACGACACCCATGACAATAAATTGAAAATTTCACGTAAATAAGTAACAGTTTGTTGTGCCCGACAGGGTCCATAATTTTATGTATACCTTCTAACAATGCCAACTGTTGTAAAATACATTATGAAATGCAATAACGTATTGAGTATTAAAAACATCATCGTTTAAAGTAAACTCATACTTAAATCTCTCTTCTTTATAATATTAATACAGATAGATAAACTAAGTAATTTTGTTAGTTCGATTTGAATGATATTGTCAATCAAGTACTCAAACGGACAGACTTATTTTCCATAATCTCAATAATTAAATACTTCGGTTATATTGTGGTGTTGACAAAGCAATGTAGCGATACTATGGCGGCGCGCGGCGATGTGTATCATCACTACATAGTATAAAACAAAGTCGCTATCCGCCGTCTGTCTGTCCCTATGTATGCTTAGATCTTTAAAACTACGCAACGGATCATGATGCGGTTTTTTAATAGATAGAGTGTGTATAATGCAAGCATATTACACCCGTGTGAAGCCGGAGCGGGTCGCTAGTTCATTTATATTTAGTAAACTCAATTACAAAACGTCTAATGAATGTTTTTCATTCATCATGAATGTTTAGGGCAAACATACATTTTAAAATAATTATAGTACTTTTATTTAAACCTTTCCGGCTGGTGGAAACAACTCCAGACAAATCATTCTTAGTTATTATAAGAACCAATTATTTATTATAGGTCTATCATGATAGGTTGTACGTTACTCTTGACAGGTTGTCGCAGTCAGGAACAAATTAATGTTTGCATTTTTAAGATCCTAATTTATTCAGTACATAGTCGTATCGTTTAGGTAAACCGAGGGCTGGGCTCGCTGCCATTGCAGCGGTAAGTCCCCTCTTTGAGGAGTGGCTTGAGAGACGCTACGGCGTCCTCACCTACCGCCTGACGCAGGTCCTCACCGGACATGGAAGTTTCGGGAGGTACCTGTGTCTGATGGGGCGGGAGGAAACGCCCGGGTGTCATCACTGCGAGGACCGCCCTGAGGACACGGTGGAACACACAGTGGGAGAATGCCCTGCGTGGGCTGAGCACCGCCGTGCCCTCAGGGAAGTGATCGGCGATGGCGACCTCTCGCGTCCGGGCCTAGTGCAGGCCATGATGCGGAGCGAGGGGGACTGGAATGCCGTCTCCTCCTTTTGCGAAGCAGTCATGCTAGCTAAGGAGGAGGCGGGACGCGTGAGGCAGCGAAGCGCTGCCTCCTCGCAACCCAGCCATCGCGAAGGACACACCGGGCGTCGGGGATCGCGGGACGATCTCCGGCCACCGTAAGCGCGGGCCTGCGGACGGGGAGCATGGGTGGCTCCCCGTCCGACCAGAAACAGACCCGAGCGTACGGCGCGTCGCGTTCCGCGCGCGCCTCAAAGAGCCATCAGACCACCACAGATGGGGCCCAATAGGGCCGATGCCGATTCGGAGTCGCGGAGAACCTAACGGGTAACCGGGGCTCCGGCTCGACGTGCAGGAGAAGGAACGGGGTGGTTTTTAGTCAGTAAGAGTCTGACACTCCCTTCCGCCTCACCCAGGCGGGAGCAGCCATTCGATGATTTTCCCCCCTTAAAAAAAAAAAAAAAAAATCGTTTAGGTAACATGTAACATTTAGTTTTATCTTTTTCTAATATGGCTCCGTAGACATCAAGGTCGTGGACCTTCAGACGCTGCAGGGTGGCAGTCCAGTCAGCGACCTGATCTACTTCATCTTCTCAGGATCAGATGAGGAGTTCCGCGCGCAATATTTCGACAAACTGCTGGACCACTACTATACAGAGCTCAGTGCTGCCATGAGGAGGTTGCAGCTCAACCCTGACGAGATCTTCTCCAGGGAAGACTTCGATTATGAGATTAACGAGGTATGCCAATGCGGAAGTGCACTTAAATGCTGAAATTATCAAACATCGTTTCCGTCCACAGCTGGACACAGACATCTCTAATAATACGACTATATCTACTTTACATATAATTCCCATTATTACCTGAAGTGACTTAACTATATTTGTGACACATCGTTAGGTGTTACAATTACAGTAAAACCCAAAAAGATAATTGTGATATCAAAGAGATCTGAATATTTAGATATTTCATACAAGATAATTATTTTTGAAGATACAAGTCATGCTGAGCTGTTATTTGTCATATAATCGTAAATACTTAATCATAAATAACGGTAGATTACTCGTTGATTCCCGGCTATTAATAGATATTGAATGTCCTTGCGTGTATTCGAGGCTGATGAAACTTTTAAACTACATGGATTTTTTTTTGCTTTCTGCTTGTGACAGAAATCATAACTGAAATGTTTCCAGCGTCAGTTTTTAGAAACATAACATACATACGTACGTTTTTTACGTAAAATGTATTGTGTTCACAAACTCACAAATGGGTATCGGGCTTAATAAGTGGTGTTTGAATTGCATAAGGCATGCAGCGGTAATGACTTATTTCATTAAATTTACATCTGTCCAGATATATTTGGCCTTGGTGTACATTTTAGAGATTAGATCATAATACATATAACAAGAGATCTGTTTGCACAAATATACCTTATTGTTTAGTACTTGTGTACAAACAGCCAAACTATTTGGTAGGTATACAGATAAGAAAATAGTTATACTACTCTTTAGAATTAGTTTGATAGAATTGCATTACTGGAGACAAATCAATGGCTTTTTTGAGGGGGAAAATCATCCATTGGCTTCTCCCGCCTTGGGTTAGGCGAAAGGGCGTGTCAGACTTTTACTGACTAAAAACCACCCCGTCTCTACTCCTGCTCTTTGAGCCGGAGCCCCGGCAACCCTTCCGCGGCTCCGTATCGAGCATCAGCCCTGCTGGGCCCCATCTGTAGTGGACTGATAGGTCCTTGAGACGGACAATCAAGAGATTGGTATATTTCGTCAGCTTAATTGAAATACATAAATGAATCACAATTATTATCATAATAATATGAAAATATTGTTTGGTGTGTAGTTTTCTAATCTGTTTATCTATCGGTCTCTTCATTTAGGTTGTATGTAGATATTTATAATATCATCACGCTGATTTGGTAGATAGCAATCGTACCTACTTATTATAAACTACAATTTGTAATGACTTGTGAATTTATTTTGGGATTATCCTTTTTTGATAATTAGGTAATTACATATTTGTCGTGTGTGACGTTATTCTGGTCAGTGTCACGTATTTAGTACATATAGGAATAAATTTTACTAAAGTTATACATGATATAGACCAAATCTGATTTCTGGACAAACCAGTCTAGTCTCAACGAATTGTTCCTATATACAAACTAACATAACTTAGACCAAACTAAACAGTTTATCTTACACCAATCGCATATGATTGAAAATGCCGTCTCACTCACCTGGCTGATCTCTTTTTTCAGAAACTACCATTCGGTCTGACTCTGGCAACGTTCATCATACCACTCGTCACAATAGACATGGAGAACGCTCCCCAGGTGGACGAGTCTCTCGACATCTTCAAGTTCAACATGGAGAAGACCAGCGACCTGTGCGCGGAGAGGCTGAACGGAGTTGTCAACGACTACGTCAAGTGGGGGATCCTCAAATAAATCGTACATTTGGCCAAAATTGTATTGTCACATGCCGTAGGGACCAATTTTGTTATCAATTTTAGTTACCAAATATACATACCTAAGAATATCCAAGTAAATAATATTGCGACCCCTAGTCATATATTATACTAGTATATACACTAGCCCATCGTATGTGAGCTCGTAAAGTCAAAATGATAATGTTGTAATACTTATGATTGTATAGAAGTAAGTAATTTATTATTCAACATTTCTGCTTAGTTTAGAATAATGTGTTAATGTTAAACTAACTATTTTCTATGATTTTATTATGCTAATTCTAATACAATGCAATATTCATATGTTGTAATGCGTACAGATTCATTCCGTTGTGCACAAACTGTGCTGTTGTAGTGATGTACTGTTTTTTATTTTTATTTACTTTATAATTATTAGTTAAACTATCTGAAAAGGGTTTCTTAAAAATAAAACAAGTTTTTTTGTATTATTTTCCATTTTATTATCTCAGGAAACCTTTATATAAGTGTCACTCGGAGAACCTAACGGGTTACCGGGGCTCTGGCTCGAAGCGCAGGTGAAGGAACGGGGTGGTTTTTAGTCAGTAAGAGTCTGACACTCCCTCCCTCCTCACCCAGGCGGGAGCAGTCATTCGACGATTTTCCCCCCTTACAAAAAACAGAACCTTTGAACCGTGGTATAGTTGTAGAGGTATAACTGTGGGTTAACAAGAACATATTGAGTAATCGGCGCCATCCGCATAGACCAGTACACAGTCCTGCACCGACTGGCGAACACACGTCAGCGTCGTAATAAAACTACAAGTTTGTCAGACTACTCAGTTTAAATTATAGTTTGCCACATTTTACAAACAAGATGGAACATTTTATTACTAACTCTTTCAAAGATTTACTTCATAAAACAGCTAAAGAACAAAACTTTGTCGACTACAATCTAGACATCAAGGAAATATCGAGTGGAGGAGCTAACTATACATCCAAGTTGTTTGCAGTGAGCATTACTGAAGGTTCTAACACACTGCGGCTGTTCTGCAAAGTCACGGCCATCGGTGAGAAGATGCGAGCTCAGTTGGCTAAAATATTCACAACAGAACATTTTTTCTATACAAATCTGGGGAAAATGTATAGAAATATCGAAGACTGTTGTGGAATACCAGACGAACTTAGGTTAAATGTCAGCAAGTACTACGGAAGCATTACTGAGCTAAACGAAGAAGTGATGGTGCTGGAGGACCTCACGGCAGCCGGGTACGAGGCTTACGACCGGTTCAAGTCGATAGACTGGCCGTACGCGCAGGCAGCGACCCGGGAGCTGGCGAAGTTGCACGCATGCGCCTGGGCATATGCTAAACAGGATCCCGAAGGGTTTGGAGATGTAAAGAAAAAGTTATTGTATGATATTAATATGGACGAATCTGATACAGAAGTTTATGCGACCAAAATGATAGGAAATGCTGTTAACATTCTTCTTCTTCAGGAGAAGAAAGATAAACTGATCAAATATTTTGAAGCGTTAGACCCGGACACATACAAAATGATGCAGAAAACGAGCCGACGACTGGTGCTGTGCCATGGAGACTACAAACCCAGCAACTTGATGCATAAGATTCTTGAAGTGAGTTATATTTTTTTAACGTAACATTACAAGTTAACTTATGAGTCTTTTCAGTTTATTTTTAATACATCCAAAAGCAAAATAACTAAAATTGTTTAGTCTCCTGCCTGAATCAGCACCTGCAAAGCCATGTATCTATTCCGCATACTATCAAGACCTATTTTGATGTTAGAACTAATACAATCTTTAATTTTGTGTGTTTGCAGGATGGCACGGTAGACATTAAAGTTGTCGACTTACAGACCATGCAGGCGGGAAGTCCAATTGTTGACTTGCTATACTTCATCATCGCGGGCACTGACGAGAAGTTCCGCGCGCAGTACTTCGACAAGTTGCTGGACCACTACTATACAGAGCTCAGCGCCGCCATGAAGAGGCTGCAGCTCAACCCTGATGAGACTTTCTCTAGAGAAGACTTCGATTGTGAAGTGAAAGAGGTACAGTGATTTGAAATGACTTATAATTATAAGCGAAAATGAGAGAAATATAGAATGAGGAGTGCTAGCACAGAACTTAGCAACTTTGCTGCCACGGTTGTTAATAAATGATTCGATGATGCGACTTAAATCATTAGATATTTTGTGATAGTTATTATTATTACTATTGTATATTAATGTAAATTAATAGAGCAGCATTTAAAAGTAGCTGAGCAAATCCTGTATGTCATGGCACTTAACAATTTTACTTGTAATTGTAGAGGTATAGTTAATAAGTTAATTCTTTATTACAGAAGCTGCCTTATGGGCTTCTCCTAGCAGTCTTCGTCTTGCCAGTCCTTACCGTGGAGATGGAGAATGCCCCCCAGGTGGACGAGTCCCTCGACATCTCCAAGTTCAACGTGGAGAAGACCAGCGACCTGTACGCGGAGAGGCTGAACGGAGTTGTCAACGACTACGTCAAGTGGGGGATTCTTAAGTAGTTGTTCATGAACAGAAATCCTTGTGCAATGGTGTGGAGCTGGACCAATATCCGCGGACCAATTTATCGTGAGATTGAACAGTAGTGATGCTGTCGTTGTAACATCAATTGATCAAATATGAAAGAACACTTTAGTCAACTATAAAAATGTGATTGTATAATAATAGTAAAATCACTAGTGCATTTGTATTAAATGAAATAATAGAACTATGTTTTGCATTTTCCTTTTAATTCAAAATATTGATGGCTTCAGCGATAAAACTACCTATTTTTTAGATGCAATGCGAATGTACCCACTCTGACCCACAGAGACGCCAATAGATTTGTTTTCTTTTTTCACAAATCAAAGAACAACGTACTTGCAAGTTTCTACAATTCGTCGTCGTATGTAAATATGTTTATACTCTCATACAAACCAAATGATTATTTTGATACTTCCAATCATTCATGACCATATTCACAAAAATAAATCCCAGAAGTTGTATGACTGCTATGTAATAGGAGGTCAAGCCGATTAATAATAATACTATTGTTTTTAAAATTAAAAACCAATTCAATTTTTGCTTGAATCTGCAATCAAGCCCACGCTCAGAAGTCGCACTTGTCTCTCACTTAAAGGTATAGAATTATCTAGAATCATCAATACCTACGTACTTATTGCTATATATGTGTTTACTTACTTAATGGGCAGATTATCGCCACAATAGATAAAACACGTGTCGTTTGATGACATTGTCCTGCACAGTATATTTTGATATTATTTGTTAACACCAAAACTATGTTTTTCACTATTTTTTTTATTAATTTTGACCATATTACCCTCAAAGAAAAAAGTCCTTTACAGTCGAAAAACCCTCACTTAAAAACTACGTTTTTCAAAGACGTCTCTTACATACTTTTGTTTGTTAAAATTGTTTACTTCCTTATCAAAACAATCTTTGCAAGAAGACCGCCTGGGATGATATGTTTTTAATTATGGACCCCTTATTAAGTCGTCAAAGGCTCAAGGATCATGAACATGTGCAGCATAGATAATGCAAACATATTAACTCACCATAATTATTGTCCACACAGACCAGTACGCTGAACTGTGCCGGCCGGGGAGCACACGTCGTGAAACTACTATATAACGTTATTGTCACACCTTTATTAGTTGAACAACAGTTTTTTTATCATCAAAACTCACATGTAATTACGTTACAAAGAAAAACGTTTTTTGGACTAATTTCCCTTAGGAAATGGAAAAAATGACACAATCTGTCAAAGACTTGCTTCACAAAATAGCAAAAGAACAGAAGTTTGTCCACTACAACTTGGACGTCAAGGAAATATCTAGTGGAGGAGCGAACTATACATCCAAGTTGTTCTCAGTGTCCATCATTGAGGGTTCCAACACACTGCGGCTGTTCTGCAAAGTGGCAGCTATAGGGGAGAAGATGCGAACTCAGCTATCTAGAATATATGAGACTGAACATTTCTTCTACACAAATCTCGCGAAAATATATCGAAATATTGAAGACCTGTGTAGAATATCAGATGAACATAAAGTAAACATCAGTAAGTACTACGGAAGTATCACAAAGCTAAACGAAGAAGTGATGGTGCTGGAGGACCTCACGGCAGCCGGGTACGAGGCTTACGACCGGTTCAAGTCGATAGACTGGCCGTACGCGCAGGCAGCGACCCGGGAACTGGCCAAGTTGCATGCATGCGCCTGGGCATACGGTAAACAGGATCCCGAAGGGTTTGATGAAGTGACGAAAATGTTGACAGCTGATGTTGACATAGACGATACTGACATGAAAATGTATATAATCAAAATTATAGAAAAAGCAATTAAAACCGTTCGAGATGAACACAGAAGTAAATTACAGCAATATTTCGAAACATTCGACGTGGACAGATATACAACAGTCGTGAAAAGAAGCCGACGGCTGGTGCTGAACCACGGAGACTTCAGGCCCAGTAACTTGATGCACAAGACTCTTGAAGTAAGTTAGTCTATAACAATATATTACCTAGGTCATTCGCAACATTTGTAAACAGAGAAAAACAAAGAAATATGCAACATAGCATTATATACCTAATATATAAAATAACAAATGAACGTTAAAAGTAATACATGTCACTATGGTTGAATTTTTTCATCAGCAGATACATACAAAAAGTAGGTTACAAATCATTCGGTAATTTACTTAGGTAATTATAATAACATTGATATAAAATGTGCTATGACAGCATTTAAGTTGATGTGCAAGTCAAACTATGGCATGGTGTTATTATTGTGCTGGGTAAAGACTAATCAACTCGAAATGTGACCTAGAGTATGACGCGTTCTATGCGCCCTCATAATCGATTATGTCACGTTTAGTGCTAGTGGGGCTTATTAATAAATAAAACATAACATAACATGACGCTTTTTATCCCCGGAGGGGTAGGTAGTATGTACATTACGCCACTTAATGCCACTGCATAAAGTAACACCCACTTTTTACTATTTATGTTATAGTCCCATGTAATAGGGGGTGAGTCATGTACCGGGAACAATAGGGATGATAACAGAGTATGAAAATTAAAAATCTAATTTGTCCGTCAGTTAGGTAATGAAAAAATATTAGACACGTTTGTTTTTTCGTATAAGAAAACAATATTTTGATAAAACGAATCAAAGTTTAGGAGTGGGAGGTAGCTACGTCATTTTATAGCATAAAACGTACTCAAAATTGACGTCATGTGATATTTCAAATCAATATATCTTCCAAACCAATTGTTTCCGTATGGAAATAAAAAATACATGTCGAATGTTTTTAAATAATCTACCAGACGGACATTAAAATTATAATTAGTCATCTACCCTATTCCAGATTCCGTGCTACTACTGAGATTTTTTTTAAAACATAATAGTACTTTCTACCAACAGTCGCACTTGCGACCACTCCGCCAACGAGGCAGTCGAAATACCTCAAATAAAACAGCATACAAAATATTAAAATGCGACAATTTCTGAATGTTAATGCGTGTGGGTTCAAAAATGTTTTTACATACTATTCGAATATTTCTTTTTATGTAATTCCAGGATGGCTCAGTAGATGTTAAGATCGTAGACCTTCAGACATTGCGGTACGGCAGCCCTGTCAATGATCTAATATTCTTCATTTTCACTGGCTCCGACGAGAAGTTCCGCGCGCAGTACTTCGACAAGCTGCTGGACCACTACTACACAGAGCTCAGCGCCGCCCTGAAGAGGCTGCAGCTCAACCCTGATGAGACTTTCTCTAGAGAAGACTTCGACTTCGAAATGAAAGAGGTACGTCAGGTCATTCACAATCATAAAGAACTTTTAACTTACAATAAGCAGATTTCGTTTTTTTTTATTACGGCATAAACCAGAGTTTATATGAATCAAGTCATATTACAGTGATGAAAATTAAAAATGTAATATGGGAAATATTTTCATACGGCCTGTGGCGGTTTATCTACCCAGCAATCAAGTTGTCATTTAAATATGAACTTTGAATCGTATGATATTTTTCATAACGTCCTTACAAAAAGCCGACGGCGCGGGCTGATCAGCCGCGCCGCGGTCCACTCGAGTTGTAGCCGAGACGCCCGCGTGCTTACGGCACGCCACCCGCTTGCGAATTGTAAGCACGGAATTGGCGCGCTGACGGCGAGTTGATGAGTAGATGCTTTAATATTTGATGCACGAAGACACCCAATATAGTTAGCAATATATTTTTCAGAAACTACCATATGCATTGTCCCAGGCAGTATTCACTCTGCCGGTCGTGACAGTAGAAACGGAGCATGCTCCTCAAGTGGATGAGTCCTTCGACATCTCCAAGTTCAACGTGGAGAAGACCAGCGACCTGTACGTGGAGAGGCTGAACGGAGTTGTCAACGACTACGTCAAGTGGGGGATTCTCAAATAAATCTATACACATGGACAACTTTATTGCTACATATCATAGAGACCCATTTTTATAACCCACCGCAGCGATTACTTGGTTTAAATTCTGATTTATTCAATTATTCTCGACTATGATTCAAAAAGAATATCAGGGAATTATTAAATTAGGATAAAAGGATTTTTGACCTTTTAAATATATAGATTTTATACTTATCGGTTGATACTAATCCGTAATCATAAGTTAGGGAAATGTTCATTCGCTGAAATAATAATGGTTTATTGTTTTGTCGCCCAAAGGCGGGCTCGGGATGACAGATTAGAATTGGCATTTTTAAAAACTTCTAATATCAGCAGGCCATTTGAGATGCCAATAAATTTTAATGAAACAAATCATTACACATCATCTCATTACTTATATATATACACATCAACTCATTACTCTGACGTTATTTCGTAAAGTTATTGCAGTTTAAAATCAAACCGCCGCACCGATTGGCGGGCTCGGCGCTGAATAGGTTAAGAGCACGTGATGTTATTGTATTAAAATTAATTTACGTACACTTAATAGTTTTATGTATTTAAAATTAGCTGTACAAGGTTTCTTACAAATAAAACTGGTTTTTGTAATATTTCGTATTACTATATTATCACACCATTCTGCGGAAGACCGATACCCACACAAGAGTCTGACCGACCATCTTCTTCCTTCTTTTCAGACGAAGGGTTAGTATACAAGGCTTTTTGTTTTTTTTTAAGGGGGGAAAATCATCGAGTGACTGCTCCCGCCTGGTTGAGGCGGGAGGGAGTGTCAGACTCTTACTGACTAAAAACCACCCCGTTCCTTCTCCTGCACGTCGAGCCGGAGCCCCGGTCACCCGTCAGGTTCTCCGCGACGATCCACTTAGGGGTAAAAATGTACTGTAGAAAAATATACAAACACATCATAAGTCGGCTTACTCAGTAGTCGCAAGACTTCAAAAAAGTCACAACAAGTGAAGCATAGATAACACAAAGATATATGTACAATCAGTACCAGTGCTCACAGAGCAGTACGCTAACCCGCGCCGACCGGCAAGCACACGTGTCGATAC